GCACGGATAGATAAAAAAAGTTTAACAATAACCTCAAGACTGATTGTTAAAAATCTTAAGTTAAATGTTTCCAGCCAAACTGTACAGAGGAAACTTAATTCAAGTGATTTAATAAACCGTTTTCAGAAAAAAAAAACACTTAATTAGTAGTATCAATAAAAACAAAAAAGTTTAACATTTCCAAAACTGCATAAATACAACAGTGAGGAATTTTCGAAATCAACATTATGATCTGATGAGAGTAAATTTCATATATTTGGCTTTAAAAACAACAAAGAGTTTGACCCTAACCTTGTGTTGCATTCTTAAATAGAAATCTTAAAATTGTAATTACCTGTCTAAAATAAAAAAGATAAAATTGAGAAACATCAAAATTGTAGAGTTACTTTTGCAATGAGAATGAAAAAGAGTTATAAAAATATTTTCTTTCTTTTTGAAACAAATGAAAAAAAAACATAAAATTTTTGCAATCATGAAGAAAATCAATTTTTTATATTTCATAATATCCATGTATATATATAATATATATATATATATATATATATATATATATATATATATATATATATATATATATATATATATATATATATATATATATATATATATATATATATATATATATATATATATATATATATATATATATATATAGGGCCGGCGCGTATAGGTGTCACTTGGTAGGGTGCCATTACAACTTTTTTGACTAAAAAAAAAAAAAATGTCCTCGTTTTTGAAAATTTGCTCACAACTATGACGACATTAGCCGACTAACTATGTAAACTACCGACTAACTATGTAAATATGTAAGTTATGTAACTCTTGAAATGTTAATTGCTTTGTACTAATTGCAAAAAAAAAATAGAGCAAGTAGTAGAAAATCACTTGGCGAAAAATTAGCATCAATAACACAGGATAAATGGTAAGTATTCCGTTGTTATATACGATAAGCTTATTGTTAGAGAATTTAAAAAAAAATAATAATGATAAATGATTTTCTTACGTTTTTATATTACTTTTTTGAATATTAATATTGCTTTAAGTTTTTTCTGATTTAAAATGGCTGATGAAACTGTTTTAACAAACATAAATTTTAATTCATTTGTATCAAAAAAGTCTATACTATTAAACAACTATTCGGATCCTGATATTAATTTTTATAATAATGATGAAATAATTAAAAATGTTAACCCTTTATATTATGACCCTAATTGTAAAAAAATTGCTAATGGAATGGAGGATAACTATTTTTCAATGCTTCATATTAATATTAGAAGTATTTAAAAAAATTTTGAGTCATTAAAACAACTTTTATATAAAATTGGCATTAAATTTCAAATAATTTGTCTAAGTGAGACATGGTGTAAAGATAAAAACATTGAAAACAATTCTAATTTTCAATTACCTAATTATAAAGTAATTCATCAAGTTAGAGCATCTAATAAGGAAGGTGGGGGTTTGTGTATATACATAAAAAACTCAATATTATTCAAAGTTAAACCAAATTTAAGTTCAACTACTAACGATTACGAATCGTTATGTATTGAAATTATTAACAAAACCTCAAAAAATATCGTCATTCATGGTTTATACAGAACGCCTTCAGGAAGCATTAAGGTATTTGAAAACCACATTAAAAAATAATTAAAAATAAATCGTCTATGAATAAAGCTGTATATTTTATTGGTGATATCAATCTCAATATATAAGATTATGAAAAAAATATATATTAAAAATTTTTTTAACACCATTTTTCAAAATAGCTATATTCCACTAATCAATAAACCAACGCGAATAACGAAGGAAAGTTCAACATCCCTAGATCAAATTATAACAAATGAATTTATAAATAAAAATATAAGAACAGGAATATTAAAAACTGACGTGTCTGATCACTTTCCGATTTTTATCCTATCGCAAAAATGTATATATAATGCCCAAAATGAACGGGAAAAAATAATTAAAACACGTTTAATAACCGACAATTCTATTAGTCATTTTTATAAGCTTCTATCCTGTGTTAACTGGGACACCCTAAAACTAAATCTAAACGCCAATAAAGCGTATGATATTTTACTAACAGAGTTTCTTAATCTTTATAACAAGGCATTCCCAGAAGTTACTAAAGTAATCAAAACAAAAACACTTTTAAACCGTTGGATCACGAAGGGCATTCTTAAATCTTCAAAAGAACTCTTAAAAATGAAACTACCAATAAAATATATAAACGGCTATTTGAGTCAATCTTAAAACGCTCAAAGAAACGTTACTATTCTGAACAATTAATAAAGCACAAAAATGATTCTAAAAAAACTTGGCATATTATTAAGGAGGTAATTGGAAAAAAAAGCTTATACAGAAATTTACTTCCTCTAAATCTTAAATTTAATAACAAACAAATTGTAAATAAATCCTTAGTTGCTGAAACACTTAACCAGTTTTTTGTAAATATAGGTCCTACCCAGTGGGCACCCGACGTCAATCCGACGTCGGATTTACGTTTGATTTTCATCAGCGATGTCAAAAGACCTATTCCGACGTTGTTCCGATGTCAGTAAAATGACGTCGGACGATGTCTTTATCTCAACATCCCCTGACGTCGTTTCGATGTATTTTGACGTTGTTCCGACATCTTATAAAAGACGTCCAAAAAACGTCGCAGTACTGACATCGATCCAACGTTGATAAAAAGTCGTCGGGCAACGTCATAATATTAACGTACTCCGATGTCTTTTGACGTCTTCCGACGTCAATCCAACGTCTTTAAAACGACATCGGAACAACGTCGTAAGACATCGCTGATGAAAATTTAATCCAAACCCAACAATATGTGTGCAATTGCGCTCTTCAATAATTATGTGAACTAAGCGTGTTTTTTTATTAATGGAAAAAAGTTTGAATAAAGGTTGATAAAACATCATGAGGTTTTGTATGGTGCACTAGCATAGTTTTTTAACTATTAACATTTTCGAGTATACATTTTTTATAATATATAACTATTCGTTTTAATATTTATATAATATTTAAACAAAATTATTTCTTATCAAAGTAATAATTCCCAAATAGCTACAAGTATAAATTACTAAATAAACTCATCAATTAGTATGTCCTTGTGGTGTGGTGGGAAGCGCATAGGACCTAGTAACTAATAGACTGAGGTTCGATTCCTGCCAAAGGTAGCGTTTTTTAGTTTTCAAAAAACACGTTGGATTTACATCGGAATGCCGACGTCGCGCGATGTCAGTTTATCCGACGTCAAATAACATTTCCATTTCCAACGTAAACCCAACGTCGATCCGACGTCGAGATCCGACGTCGCTCGACGTTCGTTCGACGTCGAAATGCCCACTGGGTACTTTATCATCTAATATAGCAACTACTCAATCACACTTTAGTTCATACTTAACCTCAACCAACCTTAATGTTATGTCTAATTATAAACTTACAGAAAAAGAATTACTAGACGCAGTCTCTTTATTAAAACCAAATAAAAGTTTAGGATTTGATGATATAAGTAGTAATGTCATTATCAAATCAATAAAACAAATTACAATATCATTACTACATATTTTTAATTTATCTCTAAAACAAAGCGTTTTTCCAGATAACCTAAAAATTGCAAAAGTAATTCCAGTGTTAAAATCAGGTGATCCTTCCGATGTTACGAATTATAGACCAATCTCAATTCTTTCTTGTTTTTCTAAAATATTAGAGCGGGTTATGTATAATAGACTATATTCCTTTTTGAATGACAATAATATTCTTTATCATAAACAGTTTGGATTTAAATCTGGTCATTCAACTGATCATGCAATCACTCACCTTCCCAGTAAGCACAGGACGTTTTTAAAACGTTTTAATTCCGTTCAATTTACGGTCGGACGTTAAAAGAACCAATACAATCGTTTTTAAAACGTTTTTTTGCAAACGTTTTTTTTAATGTTAATTTAAACGTTTTTTTAGCGTTTTTTAAACGTTATTTTTTTTTTATTAACTTACGGTTAGCTTATGAACGTTTTTAAAACGTTTTTTTAACGTGATAAAAAAACTTTTTTTAAACGTACAGCTCGGCAATAGAGTATGTTTACGCAAATAATGGCGTGACCTTCGATTAGGCGAATTGATTTATTTAAGTAAAAATTATATAAATTAGCATATATTTAAATCAACCAAGTGTTTGTATTGTTTTTTTGTAGAATTAAATTTGAAAATATATTGGAGTATTTTTAGTTTAAAGTTGTATGCCTTCGTTGAAACTTGGTTGTGTTTGTATTTCTACTTGAATCAAGTAGATATGATTAATAAAGTTTTAATGGTGTGGTTAGCTAGATTATTTTACTCTAATAAGTAACTTAATTGTTGAGTAAACTTGAATGCTTAAAAAAACTAGATTAAGTTTTTAATTCTACTTAATTATCAACTGCTTTTAACGCAAAAAAATCTATTTGGATTTGAAAAAAGGGAACAACATTCTCAGACTTTTTCGTCATTTTAAAATTTTTATTCTTTAATGATATTCTGGTGTTATTACCAAATGTTTAGCAGTATGAAACCTATAATATTATATACCATACTATATACCCTATTTTACTTATAAAGTTAATAATCTGTAAATAATTTGTAAAAATTTTTTAATTGTAAAGTTGCTACATGAGAAGACAAGTTGTTAGATGAAATTCAAATATTCTCTATGTTTGTGTTGTGTAGGTCAAAAAATAAACAAAGATGATATTGATTGTGATGACCAAGAGATTCATTTTGAGACACATCAATCTTCATCATCTTTAAATAAAAAGGATAAACATTATGGATTTTTATTATCTCAAGCAAGTAAGTCTTTAGTTAAAAATAATAATGTAATGTTTGTTGTAAAATGCTAACATGACTGTCAATATTAAAAAATATCATTAAAATAATGAGGTTCCAATTTTAACTTTAAATAATCGCCTTCATGAAATCCATTATTTCAATATTATCAAAACTATAAATCTATAGAACAATCTTTCTTGTCTAATCCGAAATCTGAGAAAAATGCTAATATATATAATATAGCATTGCCACTATTAGGTATTTTACTGTCTATTAGTTTTTCTATGATTTAGGCTTAGACCAGTAAAGTTGTTAAATTGTTAAATTTATGTATTTTAAATTTATTTACGTAGTTTAGTTAAGACAATGTAAAATTTAATTAGTGTAAATTTGTTTAGACTTTCAATATTATGTGTTGCTTCTCTTAAATGAGATAAAAACCCAAGGATGCAAAAAACTTAATATAAAATAGTGTGAAGAAGAAGTAGTAACTGAAATGAACAGCATAATAAAATTTGATAAGTTTGACTCAGCACTTGACAATGTTTCATCTAGTAACTCTGTAGTATCTCTGCAGTTGTAAATTGCTAAATACTGATTTGACAGATTTTTCTTTTTTTTTTAATTTTCTTTACAATATATAATTTTTACTACTTAATTAGGAATTATCAGATTTCCATTATTTCTTTCTATTAGAAACAAAGAGTTCAAAATATTAGTGGTAAGAACTGTCAAAAACTTGTGATAGCTATGATGAAGAGGTTAGTAAATTAAAAGTGCATTCCTATAAATACTCTGTTTAAGTTTATAATGATATTACTCCCATCTTACAATCCATTATACAAATCCAATGCATGGCTCTACGTTAGCCGTTTTACCATAATGGGACGACTGAATAACCGTGAATTTCATACGCGCAAAGTAGCACATGTGCGAAGCAGTTACAAAAACTGGCACAATGTCAAATGGCATAAGTGCAAATGGGCATAACTGCACAAAAAGAATTCCAAACATTGGCATAAGTGCAAACTGCTATAAGTGCAAACTGGCATATGTATAAATTGGCATAAGTGCGCTAAATAGATTTACAAACATTCGCATAAGTGTGAATTGCCATAAGTGGGAACTGGTATAAGTGTGAAGCAGTTGCAAAAACTCGCAAAAGTGCAAACAACATAAATGCAAACTGGCATAAGTGTGCCAAATAAATTTGCAAAATTTAGCATCCCAGTGGGCATTTCGACGTCGAACGAACGTCGAGCAACGTCGGATCTTGACGTCGGATCGACGTTGGGTTTACGTTGGAAATGGAAATGTTATTTGACGTCGGATAAACTGACATCGCGCGACGTCGGCATTCCGATGTAAATCCAACGTGTTTTTTTGAAAACTAAAAAACGTTGCCTTTGGCAGGAATCGATCCTCGGTCTATTGGAAACTAAATCATAGGCGCTTACCACTACACCACAAGGACATAGAGATTAATGTGTTTATTTAGTAATTTATACTTGTAGCTATTTGGGAATTATTACTTTGATAATAAATAATTTTGTTTAAATATTATATAAATATTAAAACGAATAGTTATATATTATAAAAAATGTATACTCGAAAATGTTAATAGTTAAAAAACTATGATAGTGCATCAGACAAAACCTCATGATGTTTTATCAACCATTATTCAAACTTCTTTCCATTAATAAAAAACACGCTTAGTTCACATATTTATTGAAGAGCGCAATTGCACACATATTTTTGGGTTTGGATTAAATTTTCATCAGCGATGTTTTACGACGTTGTTCCGACGTCGTTTTAAGGACGTTGGATTGACGTCGGAAGACGTCAAAAGACATCGGAGTACGTTAATATTATGACGTTGCCCGACGTCTTTTTATCGACGTTGGATCGATGTCAGTACTGCAACGTTTTTTAGACGTCTTTTATAAGATGTCGGAACAACGTCAAAATACATCGAAACGACGTCAGGGGATGTTAAGATAAAGACATCGCCCGACGTCATTTTACTGACATCGGAACAACGTCGGAATAGGTCTTTTGACATCGCTGATGAAAATCGTACGTAAATCCGACGTCGGATTGACGTCGGGTGCCCACTGGGATAATTCCAAACTGCAAATTTATTACACGCATTTATGTCAGTTCGCACTTCTGCCAGTTTTTGTAACTGTTTTTTACGTAATCAAATTTTGCACTTATGCCTATTCGTAATGTTTGCTAACCTGTTTGGCACACTAATGCCAATTTACACTTTTACCAGTTTGCAAGTTTAAAGCTATAGGTTATCCTATAGCTTTAAACTTTAGTCCAGATAATTCTTTTAACCCAGATAATATTCATATATATGACTACACTAATGGTTAGTGTACACTTATGATCTGGACTATATTAATGGTTAGTGTGCTATTTTTTAAATAGTAGATTAGATTTAATTAATAGATAAACTGTATCGTTAAATTAAAATCTAAATGTTTAATTACATTTATATTTTATGGAAAAAAAGAAAAAAATTTTAAATACAGTAGTTAATTATAATTTCATAAGTTATAAGATATAATATTATTAAAATATATTATTTTTAGATTTGTGACAAATTCGCTCATGGCCAAATCTAATATGGCAGCTGGAAAAAGCAAAGGATCTTTTTAGCCTAACTAAGCTATACAACTTAATAAAAGGTACATTTATATTTATATATATATATATATATATATATATATATATATATATATATATATATATATATATATACAAATATATATATATATATATATATATATATATATATATATATATATATATATATATATATATATATATATATACAAATATATATATATATGTATATATATATACATGTATATATATATATATATATATATATATATATATATATATATATATATATATATATATATATATATATATATATATATATATATATATATATATATATCTTATACTGCTGAGTTAGGTGAGCATGATGACATCATACTGAAATAGCCTGCTGCTGGGGGCTTCAGTACATACATCGACTGACAAATAGCCTGACTCGCAGTGGAGTGTTGCTATATCGACTGAGGATTTTTATGGGTTAGCAACCTTTTCATTTAGTATTCTCCGTTTTCTCTCTTTGTTTTGTAAAATATCTATATCAATTTAGATAAGCAAAAAAATAAAAAAAATAAAAAAATGTATATATATATATATATATATATATATATATATATATATATATATATATATATATATATATATATATATATATATATTTATATATATATATATGTATATATATATATATATATATATATATATATATATTTATATATATATATATGTATATATATATATATATATATATATATATATATATATATATATATTATATATATATATATATATATATATATATATATATATATATATATATATATATATATATATATATATATATATGCAATGTGAAGTTATATATACATTTTTAAAACATATTTGTAATTTAAAAACTTATTACTATTATTATTATACTATTATTATTATTATACTATAATATTATTATTACTGTTCAGATTGTCTGTTTTAAATATATAGTTTTTCCTTTTAGTTTGTGCATCGACTTCTCACGAATCATACACAGAGGCGATTGTCGATGCAATAATTGCTGATTCGTGAAAACGGGCAACTTTTGCTTGTCTTAAAGTGCCTTAAATCCATCGTTATAATATTACATTGTTTGTAAATTGTTTTGAAAAATAAATTTAAAAATAACTTTTAAATAAATTTTTTATTTTTCTTGTTTTTTAAACCAACTGGTTCTTTTAAAAATAATTTAATAATAGTACCTATGGATTTGGGAATATTTTCTAAAAAATAACGTCTTTTAAAAGTTTAAAAGACGCCTAAATTATGGTTTTATTTAGGTTATTTGAGATTGTTTTTTAAACGTTTTTTTTAGAACCTTTTTTAAACGACTTTTTCAGAACGTTTTTTAAACGCTTTTTTGAAAACGTTTTTTAGGTATTGCCATTCAGAACGTTTAAAAAACGTTTTTTTTCTTAGTTAAAAAAACGTTTTAAAAACGTTCATGTGCTTACTGGGTTGTTCATGATATATTTAAAGGGTTTGATGAAGACAAGTATACCCTAGGTGTATTTATCAATTTAAGTAAAGCTTTTGACACTGTCAATCATCAAATCCTTCTATCCAAACTGAAAAGTTATGGTATAATAAATACTAATTTGTCCTGGTTTGATAGTTACTTGACTAATAGAAAGCAGTTTATTTCATATGATAGCGGAAAAACGGAATATAAGTCAATCACCTGTGGTGTTCCTCAAGGATCAATTTTAGGACCACTTTTATTTCTCGTTTATATTAATGACTTATATAAATTTTCTAACATTCTAAACGTAATTTTGTTTGCAGATGATACAAACTTGTTTTATTCTAGTAAAGATATCAGTAAATTATTTTAAACAGTAAACAAAGAACTTGAAAAATTAACCCAATGGTTCAAATTAAACAAACTATCTTTGAACATCAATAAATCCAAATACACTTTGTTCCATCGTCTTCATAAAAAACAAGATATTCCATTAAAACTTCCTGATCTTTTTATTGATAACGCATTATTAAAAAGAGAGCAATCAATAAAGTTTTTAGGTGTGGTTCTGGATGAAAATTTAACCTGGAGGGACCATATAGGTCTAATTGAAAACAAAATATCAAAAAATATAGGTGTTTTGTATAAAGCCAAGCAGTTTTTAAATCTATCTTGTTTAAAAAACTTAAATTTTTCTTTAATTCATTGCTACTTAAATTATGCAAAAATGGTGCAGCACAAACGCAACAAAAGTAAAAAAACTGTTTAGTAAACAAAAACAGGCTATAAGGATAATTACAAACGTAGACCGTTTCTCTCACACTAAAACATTATTTAATAAACTTAATATTCTAAATGTATATAAACTAAACCTTTACCATATTCTTATCTTCATGTTTAAACTTGATAAAAAAATATCACCAATGTTATTTAATTCACTTTTTGAAAAAATAAACCACATATACCCTAACAGATTTTCAAAAAACAATTACATTCAATCCAAAACACATTATTCAGCAACCAAATTCTCAATTGCAAATCGAGGTCCTAAGCTGTGGAATACAATATTAAATAATGAGCTGAAATCTAATTATTCTTTAAACCAGTTTAAAACAAAACTTAAGCAATTACTGATGATACATGAAAATGAATTAAAGTTCTTCTAAAAAGCTTTTTAAACTAGCAAACAAAAACAAAAATTAACCTACTAATTACTCTTTAATATTATATTTAATATTCTAACAATAGTCTGCTATTGTAAATGTATTTCTAATCTTATAAATTTTGAATTTACAAACGATTTTTTAAGTTTTATTATTTGAAATACTAATTACTAAAAATATTGTAAAATTTTATAATTTCAATTTTTATTAAAAAAAGTTATTGTAAATTCTTTTTGTAATATTAATACTTATATATCATCTTATTTTACTAATCAGTTCTTAAATATAAATACTCTTTGAATTACTAAATCATTTAAACGTTATATATTTTATTTTTTATATTTTGTTAAAATATTTTATTTGATGAATATGCATTTTTTTTTTGGGGGGGGGCTTAATGATAAGATGAACTTTGTCTTCTTCAAGCCCAGTCATGTAAATATTTGTTTTTATAAATTACGAGTGTAAATTATTTTCAATCGGCAAATACAATACTAAAAAAAAAAAAAAAAAATAAAGACTTGTTTCAGAAACGTAAGATCCGTGGTTCAAACCCCACCTCTGGACAAGTTTTGCGACATCGGTTGGGAAGGAGGCGCGAACTTCCTATTAAATGCTCTTTCGCGGTGCTCTGTGATAAGCACCTAAATCAACATTAAAAAAAAAAAATAATAACTACTGTAAATTTTCACACATTTGTAAATTACGTTGACACTATTAAAAAAAGAACGTTTTAGAATTGATTGCTTCTGCTTTTTTTTTTAAGATAAATTTTAAAAAGGGGGTAACTAATATATTTATTATTTGAACACACTTATTTTTCAAGTCTTTTAAGAGAAACTTTTATTCGTGCCTGCATTTAAAAAATAATTATGATTTTCTGTTTAATAAACATTCTATGTTTGGATGTGTAATGATTTAAAATTTTTCTTGTAGGCAGAGTATTCACTTTTTGGTAATATTGTTATATGCATGTGCTGTTTTAAGGATGGACCAATTCATTATAAAACAATAAAAATTATAATCTTTTAATTCCCATATATATTTTGAAAGCACGGTGTCTTTCAAATACTTTTTATTTTTAAACGATTGCTTATGATTTAGAAAACGTTTTTTTCATTTATCCTGCGTTATGCCAATATGTTGTTTATCAGGTACATTCTTAGAGTAAACAGCACATTTATATACCACATTTTTGGATAAACAATTTCTGCTCAATGGACAATTGTTTTTTTTTGGTGTACAGTTTTCTGTAGTTTTTTTATTTAGGATTTCCTTAATGTTTAACAAAGCATTATATTGACCTTTTATAATTCTTTCCATATTTTTTGTGCAACTTTAGCTAATTTTAATAGTATTTTAATTAAAATTTTTATATAATTTCATAAAGGGCGGGAAATGCTATTCAATTAACTTTAAAAACACTATACCTATGTTAGAGGAAACATTTTTGCTATAGAGGGGGTTGAATTAAATTACGTTTCTAGTTCTATTTCGCTTTATCGTATTCTTTTTTTCAGGGTCAAATTCTAGTTCAAACTTTTCAAAACTATTTATTTTAAGGGCATTTTCAAATATTCCTTTGAAGGAATTAAATACACTTTCTTTAGAGGAGTTTTGGTTTAGCCTGTTATTAATTGAAATCGGTTTTTGTTTCAGAATTTGTGGCGGATTGTTTAAGTTAATACTATTAAACAATATTTCATCGTTTTTTGAAAGACTTGATTGAATTTTCTAGGAGGTTAAATCTGGCGTCAATAAAGTTTAAAAATTTCAAAATAATGTTTATTTCGATTTAAAAGCCATATTTGAAAAAAAAAATTTAATATCTTTTTTCACGCATTACAACTAGATTTTTCACGCATTACTACTAAACCATCGTAGCGATAAAGGCCTAAATCATTTATAACGATTATTTTACTTAATAAGTCTAAAATATGTAGTCTAACAAAGTTGACAAATTTCTGCTCCTTCATAACCGACCATTGTTACGTCAAAGCAGTCATGCATGCTTTTCATTTTAATGTTTCCTTATTAAAATAAAGTGGGGTTTTTCTACAATGTTTTATAATACGGATTGTTTCTTCAGGAATAACTGCACTGTTAACCTAAAAGGTTCTTTGCGATTCTTCGCAAGTTCTTTGAGGTACCTAAAGTAGGGTCACAATATCTCCAAATTTGCACGGAGATCTCCGTATTTTAAGGCAAAATGTAAGGCTCTGGGGGTTTTCAGACAAAAACACGAAATCTCTTCTACTTGGAGGTTTTTATTTAATTTTTATAAAAATTCAATGTGTAATACTTAAATATTAATACTTAAATGTATAGAACTGAAAATGTAAAAACTATTAAATGTAAAACGTTTTTAGTCACAAACATTTTATTTAAAATGCTCATACATCACGTGTTCTCTTCTCTTGATTACACAATATTGAAAAATACGCGCGCATCCAAACTTGCGAAAACGAAAGTCGTGACCGATAAATTATGTTAAGGTAATAAAGTATTTGGTTGCTGTTACACAAGAGAGAATTATTTTAATTTAAAGTATTAAAGTAAAAGAATTGCTGCACTCTCAATAATTTTGTCTAAAAAAATGTTTTCTAGTTTAAGAAAGAGAGGAAAGAGTGTGAAGCCAAATTCAAAGTTTGCCCAACTGGATCATTTATTCATGTTTTTCCCAAAGATAAACAAATTACCTTATGTTAGTTTTATTTATCTAATTCATCTTACAATCATAATTAAGCCAAGATTATGTAAGTTATGTAACCTTTGACCTGTTATTAGTCTCAATAACAAGAGTTAAAAGCTTTAAGTTGGATGAAACTTGACAGTATCCCTATTTGGGATCAAGTTGAAGACTTAATTGTATTCAAAAAAGCCCCTTATTAATGTTAATAAATCATTGAGCCATAACGAATTTCCAAACTTATAAGTTCAATAAGTTCAATACCCTAACTTAATATATATATATATATATATATATATATATATATATATATATATATATATATATATATATATATATATATATATATATATATATATATATATATATATATATATATATATATATATATATATATAAAATTCTAATAAGTCACGGTTCGCATTCATAGCTACCATTCAGGAGCGTATTAATAATTTATGCCCCCTAAACCCCAGACCCCTCTAAAGTTTTGTTATGGCAACTAACCTATTTCTACTCAATCAAAAAATGAAATAAAAAAATTTACTATAACGTAGGAAGACCTTTCACTATTATCACTATGGCTCTCATGCAGCAATGGGGCATTCTCTTTGCTACAAGAATACTGGTATGTTAGCCATATTTTATCCGAATTATAATAGACTAAACCTTCATGATATGCATAAAGATCATTTTGCAATGTCCGACCACATAAACTACCAAAGTAAAAGCCAGAAGTGTCCCCAAACAAACAATAGTTTTGAATAGGCTACCTATCTTAAAATTTATGTAAAACTAAGATAACTTAGAGAAATAAATAACATAACTTACATTTTACTTACTTACAAAATAAATTATAACTTTTCAAACACAAAACTTTTATTTGTAATTATAAATAACAATTTTTTTCATAATTTTATGTGTCCTAACTATGATATTTAGTTACTTATACATATAAGTTTTACTTTCTTATGTAAATATTATATATTTTTAAATAATATATTTACGTGGGATAACTTTATGAATTATTTTTTTTACATAAAAGTAAATTGCATTTCGATGTAAATTTTCTACATAATGATAGCTATAATTACTTTTAAAAGTAAATTACTTTGCACGACTTACCATTTTTAAGTAAAATAAAACCGTTTTTGTAATGCATATTACTTTTATCTACTACTTACTATAAAGAAAGTCAACACAAATTTTTTTTTTTTTTTTTTACGAAAAAAAAAAAAATGCATATTACTTTTACATATAAAAACAAATTACTTTTTCACATAACGGTTACTCATTTAAAAAAAAAACTTAGTTAATTGAGTTTCATATATTACACAATATCATGTAAAAAAAAAAACGATTTACTTTTAGATGGAAGTAAATAAAACATTTTAGTTCGAGTTATGTAAAGTAATTTACGTTTAAAGTATATTGCATTTGTACATCAAAAAGAGTAAAAGAGCTATCTCTATTAAATAATTGCAAAATAGTTATTGTTATCTAATAAGTTTATTTACGACTAAATAACTAAACATTATTATATGAAGTCATTTAAATTTTAAAATTACCATATCAGATGTCGACAGCTGAGTAGAACTTAGTCAACTATTACGCAATTTGTTTTATAAAAACTTCTTTAGGATATTGAACTAACTGAAATAAAATTTTAAATTTTACATCATTTAATTAAACAATAAAAGTTCAAATTCCGATAACAAAAAAGATTTTTAACAAAAAGAAAAAATGGTTTCTATTCATTGAACTACAGAACACATTTATTTAACTTAAAAATTCCTTTCCTCCTAATCTCTTTTTTTTTTACGTGTAAAAATTCCGAAATCCAATTATAAAATTGCATCAACATTTGATCAACCTCCTTACCTAATAAAATTCAAAAAAGTAGTAAATCTTTTGTATAAGTAAAAATTTTATTCGAAAAAGTTACAAGTTTGATCTCAATTTTTCATATATCGTTCCCCAGCACTTTTCAAAAAGTGCTAAAAAAATTTCAAACCTTTCTTTCTAATAATTTTGATGACATAATTAATATAGAGCGCCTAGTTAATAATATCATTATTTTCTATACATTTTTTTATTACTCAAAAGTTATTTTATATACTACCAAAAACTTTTACTTTATTACTTGAAATTTATAGGTAAAATGGTTTACTAAAATCATTTAAGCAGCGAGCAAGTATATTTTATCAGTCCCATTGAGTGGGCACAGGAGGTCCTTGGATGTCGAAGGACCTTCTATTATCTGTGACCTCTTGTGTCCTGCCCTCAATGATTTTTATTGAATTATGATCGAAACCACTACGCGGTTGATGCCGCATGTTTACAAATGATTTTCCAAGATCGTTTTTCAATTAACATCACTGTGCCAATTAGGGGAGAGTGAAGTAATAAAAAATGCAGGGTAAATCTGAACATAATCAAAACAAGATTATAGAAAAAGATTTACGATAGTTGGTCGACCTCAGGCGGCCAGATTTTTATTGTTTTTTGTTTTTGTAACATTAAGTTTTATCAGATAATTTCTTAGATACGTAATTTCCTTAATTAGAGTGAAAACCGAATAATGTTTAAGATAAAAACATTCCACTATTGTTACTAGTTCAAGAAAGAAAAATATTTTAGAATAAAAGATTAGTAAAACGGATGAAGTAAAAAAATTAATAGTAAAAGTAAAATATGGAACAAGATCTTTAACCTATTAGAGGCTGATTATGTACCATTATGTAAATCAAAAAGAGAGACAGAGGTTTTCTTGTTTTTCTAAAGTATATATGTATTTATATATGCTTTGTATATATATATATATATATATATATATATATATATATATATATATATATATATATATATATATATATATATATATATATATATATATATATATATATATATATATATATATATATATATATATGTATGTATATATATATATATATATATATATATATATATATATATATATATATATATATATATATATATATATATATATATATATATATATATATATATATATATATATATATATATATATATATATATACTAGGTTGGTTGAAAAGTTCGCGGAGCGGCACCTATGTTGCAGTAGTAGAAACAAATTTATAACTGTATTAAACGTATTCATTCTTCGTATGAACGCATAAAAAATTTCAAGTCGATATGTCATTTCAGTCTTTGTTTACAAGCTATTGAAATTAGACGTGTCATAGTATTTTTTAAAATGGAAAATATTGAACATCGTGCTGTAATAAAATTCTTTGTGAAAAAAGGTTTAAAGCCCATGGAAATTCATAATGAAATGGTAAATGTGTTGGGTGATGATGCTCCTTCAAAAACAACAGTATGCAAATGGGCTGCGGAGTTTCAACGTGGGCGTTCAAGCCTTGAAGATGACCCTCGCTCTGGACGTCCAAAAAGTGCTACTACTGAAGAAACGATTAATGCTGTGCATGACATGGTTATGGATGATAGACGATTGACCAAACGTGAAATTGCTGAGGCTGTGGGCATCTCAGATGAACGGGTATTACACATCTTGCACGATGAATTACGTCTGAGAAAGCTGTTGGCAAGATGGGTGCCGCATTCGCTAACTCTGGATCAGAAACGCACTCGAGTAAAACTTTCTCAAGAACATTTGGCCCGTTTTCAAAAGAATAAAACAGATTTTGTGCGTCGATTCGTAACCATGGATGAGACTTGGGTTTACCACTATGATCCGAAGCTGCGACAACAAACTGCAGAGTGGACAGAACCCGGTTGTTCAGCTCCGAAGCAAGTGAAGGCGTCAAAATCGTCAAAGAAGGTTATGGCATCAGTTTTTTGGGATGCGAAAGGAATTTTATTAATAGATTACCTTCAAACCGGTAAAACGATAACAGGTGAATATTATAAAAATCTTTTGGACCAGTTGGATAAAAAAATTCGTGAGAAAAGACCTGGTTTGCTGCATAAAAAAATCATTTATCACCAGGACAACGCACCTGCTCATATCAGCGATGTTGCAAAGGCGAAATTGGTCGAATTAAAGTACGAACGCTTGGAACATCCACCCTATTCACCAGATCTGGCTCCGTCCGACTTCCACCTCTTTCCACATCTCAAAAAATTTCTACGTGGAAAGCGTTTCTCATCACATGAAGAAGTCATTGCAGCCGTAAATGGGTATTTTGAAGGCCTTCCGGAATCGCACTTCAGAGATGGGATACATGAATTGGAGAATCGTTGGAAAAAGTGTATTGCTCTTAAGGGAGAATATACTGAAGAATAAAGTCATTTTTTGAATCATAAAATTGTTTTTTCATTTCCGCTCCGCGAACTTTTCAACCAACCTAGTATATATATATTTATATATATATATATTTTTAATTTCTATAGAAGCTGTTGAATGCAATGACTTGATTATTGCAAAAAATAATAAAGATTTTGACAATGAACATCCTGGTCCAAAGTGCCAAAGTAACTTTTTATTTAATTATAAATATAATAATTTATATATTAGAAATATAAAATAATTGCTTTGTTCTCCAAAATCAAAATTGGAAGTCACGTTTCTAAGTTGAAATCTATGTTGTGATTTATATCATATTGCTATTATTGATATGTTCAAATTTAATTTTATACCTTTTTTAGATCCTGCTCACGGTGAATTGTCAGTACACAAAAAACGTCGGAAGCTCAACCAATCCAATTTGTTTGATGAATCAACTGATTCAGATTAATTTATTTAAATAAAATATATAATTTTATCTTATATTTGTGTTTTATTTGTTTTTTTGTTGCTCTATCTTATTTTTCATAGTAATTTCATGGTATATATTTACATATAACCATGGTTATTTACTTACATATTAACTTACAACAAACTGATTTCAGTGGCTGAGATTATTCTAATTTAAGTTTGTGTATAAAGATGCACAAACTTATTGTAGGGCCTAGATCAGCTGCCGACATCAAACCGTTATCGTTTTGTCCATACGGAATTGTGTAAGGTTGAGATTATATGGATATTTTACCCAAACAATTTTCTGGTATTGATTTTTTAACCAATCAATTTTTTTAAATATCCAGCTAATTTTTTAACAGATATTTTAAAATATGATCTGGATGATCTATGAACCATATATCAATATATCAAAAGAGATTTTTTTACATAATTACGTAAGAGATAAAATTTGTTTTTATTATAAATTCAATTATATGTATAATTTTTTATTTATAGATATAGATGTCGAAGAAATCAAAATCAACTTATGAATTATCGAATTGATTCTTTCAACAATCTATGAAGGTTTTTTCAGGTCCATTAGTAGTTTAGTTTTTCTTAGTTAATATTTGATTTACTTGGAATGCAACCTTAATTATACATGTATATTTTTTTAAATTTTTTTATATATCCCTTTTTTATTATATTATTTTATTTTTTCATTTCTCTAGTGTTACTATTTTTGGATTCATTGCCAAGCAATGAAGCAGTGCGTTTAACTATTAACAGAAGAACTCTTTCAGCTATGTCTCCTTGTCAATAGTTTGTTGTATGATTATGTTAAATTTATAAAATGTTTATTCCAACACAAGGTAAGGTAGAAGTAGTTTTATTTACTGGCGATGTTAGTTTTAAGCAGAATAAGTATCATATATCAAAATATTTCCTGTTAATTTTCTATTTATTGATAAAGTATAACCTGTTATGGTAACAATTTTTTTTTGCACGAATCTATTTTTAACACAGTGCTCTCAGAAGAAAAACTCTTATAATAGAGATGTTATACTGTTGCTATGCTAATATTATCTATATTGTATTCATATTTTTATTGATATATAATTTTCAGAGGCTGTAGATTTTGATAATGCATATCTTGATTCTAAATATAAATGTATATTTTATATATATATATATATATATATATATATATATATATATATATATATATATATATAACATATATATATATATATATATATATATATATATATATATATATATATATATATATATATATATATATATATATATATATATATATATATATATATATATATATATATATATATATATATATATATATATATATATATATATATATATATATATATATATATAATATGGCCCAAGCTCCAGCGTGTTTTATATAACATGTTAATTTTTATAGGGGCTGTTGAATGCAAAGAAGTAAACAATGATTAAGATACAAATGATTTTGGCAGTGCACATCCTGATTCAAATTGCCCAAGTAACTTTTTATTGAATTAGAAATATAATACTTTTCATATTATAAATATAAATTAGTTATTTCGATCTCTGAAATTAAAAGTGGAATTTGGAATCTACGTTGTGATTAATGTTATATTGCTATTATTGATATGTGAAAATTTAATTTATAGTTTTTTTTTTTAGATGCTGCACACAGTGAATTATCGGTTAAAAAAAAAACTTTGGAATTTCACCCGATTCAATTTATTTGATGATTCAACTGATTCAGAATAATTTATTTAAAAGAAATATATAATTTTGTTTTATATATGTGTTTTACATATACTTTAGTTGCTTAATACTATTTTCCCTTTTTTTCCGATTTGAATAAGTGTGTTAAGATTTGCATCGGCTAGCAGAGTTTTTGAACCCCTTTGTTTTTGTCCATACAGAATCGCATCGGGCTGAGATCGGCCAGCCGATGATTTGTTTGGAATCGCGTCGGCTTAACATCGGCCAGCCGATGCATTGCAATAGTTTGAGCGGCTAGCCAATGTCGGGCCGACCTCGGTCCGTATGGACAAAAACGGTTCTTAAGTAATTATATATATATATATTTATATATATATAATTACTTAAGAACTGTGTTAATATTGATGCAGATATTGAAAGAAATAGTTTAAAACTGAGTATATGATATGCTAAGTATATACCTGGTTCTTGAAACAGTATTTCGGTTATAATACTTGATAAACTATATCAAGAACCATATTCTGGTTATTTGAAAGATTTAGACATCGCAGAATCTCATGCAGTATCATAATTTTCAAAAGGAAAACCTGTTAATGATACAGAGAGTTTAATTGACAACTTTTAGATTTTGCTATTCAAAATAATAGGACTAGTTCATTAGTTAATGAACTTCTCGAAATTTTACAAAATCAAGGTTCGGAACATCGCAAAGATGCGTGAAAAATCTTTGAAAACACCTAGAGGTATAAGCAAGTTATACCTAGAGGTGTTTTTAAAAACTTCTCTGCATCTTCGTGCAGAGAAATTTTTAAAAACAATTATTAACTGTTTCTAAACTAAGTGTGATATGCTCTTATTTTGAAATACAGGCAAGTATTAGGAAAATATTTTTTTTGTATTTTGTTATTGGTTGTTTACCTTTATTTAAATTCTCTACTAAACAATTGCGGCCAATATTTGCTTGCTTTGATTATCTTAATACTTATGTAGTTGTCATTTTTTGTAGTGAAACCAAGCCTAATTCACTAACTAAATACCTATTTTTTTGTTTGATTCAAGTTAATAATACAAAATGGTTTTCTATTCAATAAAAAATATAAATAAAAACTATATAAAATCTTATAATGCTTACAACTTTTGTGAAAAGTGTTCCATTTATGTAACTTATGAAGGAATTGTGTTTAATAAAGAAATTTTTTACTCACCTATCTTTTATATAATCAACTGTTACGACTGGTTTAGTTTTTTAAATTAAATATATTTGATCCTTTTTCAAAAAAAAATAACACAAAAGAATAAACGCATTAAATGTACCAGACATTTCAAGATCTGCTTTAAATAATCTTAGGAAGATAGATGTAATTGTTTTTGCTATTTTATTTTTTATTCTTTAAAAATTCAAAAGAAATAATTATAACTAAAACCAATATTTATATTTATAACTTGATAAAATTTATTTTTTAGTAACATATCGAACTTCAAATTATAATGAAAAAATTGTGTTTAAAGATGGAAAGAGATTTTTTACGGTAAAGATTTTTTCTATATAAATGAATTTTTGATAATTTATGGTTTTTAACACGTATTAAAAAAGTATATAACACAGCAAACACTTAAATAGGATTTTTAGTGGACCTATATAGGCAATGGTTTATAGGTGGTTGCAATTTTGCTCATCATATAATTCATGGATCATTAGTAGCAGCAGCCAAAAGTAGAAAAAAACGAATATCCATTATATTCTATGTTGGAATGTTATTGGCTGGACACTTGAGTAATTTACTAAGTAAACGATGAGTTAAACTCGATTTAACTGCTCAGAATGCCTTTATAGATTAACTACAAATCCATTACAACAATGTTTGCTGATAAAGTTTTAATATGTAGTCATTTGAAATTTTTGTCATATATATTCAGGGCTCCAAATCCTCCCTAAAACCCTTAAATATCCAAGATAAATAAAAAAAAATTATAAGTCCTTAAATAATCTTTAAAAGTGTTAAAATTCGACTGCTCTCCTTAACTTACTTTTCTATAAATTTTTGTTGTATTTATTACTTAAAAATTAATTTGTTAACATATATAATATATATGTAATGGTCATGATAACTTCTATTATATATGTAACTGTTTATTTTTGAATTAATTTTTATACATTTTTTCAAGGGAGTTGTCAAATATAGTATAGTATATATATATATATATATATATATATATATATATATATATATATATATATATATATATATATATATATATATATATATATATATATATATATATATATATATATATATATATATATATATATATATATATATATATATGTATGTATATATATATATATATATATATATATATATATATATATATATATATATATATATATATATATATATATATATATATATATATATATATATATTACGTCATAAAGAGTGCTATAAATGTTCTCTTTATTCCTTTGTTCTTTATTTTTACATACTTATCATTACAACTTTATATAGGTTCAAGACTGTTTACCTGAATACTACAGCAAAAAAGAAAAGGTAAATTACGTCAAGTACTCGAACAGTCGATTTTTGGAAGTTTACAAATGGATGAAGAAGTTTACTAAAATTATAATTCATAGAATTAAGCACATTTTATATATATGTATATATATATATATATATATATATATATATATATATATATATATATATATTTATGAAATTATTATTATCATAATTTAAAAAATTTAGCACAATTTAGCAATTATATTATTATAAAGTTTACGCAAAATTTTATTTTTTACCTATTCTCAAAAAGTTAAGTGAAAACATAATTTTTAATCTTACGTTTTAGTAAAGCTATGTAATGACACGTATTATAGACGTCGAACTGAGGACGGCAAAATTAGTTTACTTAAAAACGTTGTTTGGCGTGTCCATATAGCACTAGTTCTGAACGTCCTAAACTTTCAGCTTTCAGATGTGTGGAAAACACGTCTTTATTCTATACCATAAAGACGTCCTAATTATGTTCTAAGAAGACGCCATTGGCGTTCAATTAGGGTTGCCAATAAGAACTATTTCTGGACGTCCTAAAAAGACGTCTTTTCGACGTCATGAGGACGTTGCTGTGTCCGCTGGGTAAGATTGGATCACCAACGTAAGATTGGATCGTATATCGCAAATGGCAGTCCTGGTTTCACAAAAGTGCATTATTGGTGAAAGTATGTCACGAGGTTTGTTTGTGACTATTGTTTGTATTATTTTTTTTTGAATAATGATAATTAATAACTAGATATTGTTTTTAAAATAGGTTATGATAAAAAGTTTATTGATCTGTCTATGGAAGACTGGATTATGTGTTACAATTGTAAGGCTTGGTTAAGGTGAACAAATCCTGTAGAATCGTCTGTGCTTATGCACTTTGTTATTACAGTTAGCCTTTTATTCGTTATTAGACAATAGTGGTTGTGATTACCCCAAGGTGTGTTCGAATTTACTTTTGCCTACGTAGGGCGACTTCAAACACCAATGGTTTTTTTTTGCTCTAAATTTTTTTTTATAACAAGATTTTTAAAAGTTGCTTTTAGGGATTTGTGACTGAATAGTTAGAGTAAATGAAAAGCAATAAATATGATCATAAGTTATAAACAATGTCTTTAATTCGCATTTCCGCTTATGTTTTCGTCAATACCCCACTCTCTCCTACGCTAATCTTGCCGATCTTTTGTTAGTTTTAAACCATGTTTGTGTCACATAAAAAAAGCACACGGTTGCGCAGGCGTCATTTTTTTTTTTAAGTTTAAGCTTTCTAAACAACGTAATTTTTAATTAAATCTTTATAATTTATGAATTTCTGACTCAAACATTTTTTCAGTAAACATTCGTATTTTTATTGCGCAAATAAAGTAGGAAGATTATAAATATAATAGATATATTTGTAGGTCATATAAGAGCTAAAGAGTTTATTAACTTTGCTAAAAGTAATTTTTATCCTTACATTACTAAAAATATAGTTTTTAAAAAAATAATAAAAATAAAATAATAATAAACTGAATTACAATCATCGTAATATTTTTTTTTTGTAACAAATTAAAGTAGTTTTAAAATATTTTTATGGCATTACTTATTTTGCTGTTGAAGCTTCTGACAGTTAAAGTAAATAGCAACTAATAATATTTATATGGTTTGTTGAATCAAAGTTCAATAAGAGAATGTATCAGTTTTTTAGGTTACAAAAATGTTGTTACAAGTTAAGGATTACTTTATATTTGATTAAAATGATTTTAACAAACTCAGATTCTTTTTTTATAATTCATGAATTGCAGAGACCATTTGATATAATGAGCAATTGAAGGTCACACAACCCAGTAAGCGTTGTTTTAACGTTATTTTAGTTTTGCGAAATAGTTGATATATAGTTGAAATATAACAATTTAAGTTTCAACGTTATTTCTACGTTAAAAAAAAAATCAGCGTTTATTTAACGTTTATTTTCAAAAAAAAACGTTGAGTTGACGTTGAAAATACGTTGAAATTTTGATTGTTTTATTAGACATTTACTCACGCAAATGTACTAATAAGTCGGAATTAGAATAAAATTTAACAGATTTGTGTTTGGGAAAGTTCTTTAAAAACTTTTAATAAAAGTAATGATGCAATAAAACTAAAAACAATAAAAAAAAATTTTTGCTATGAAATATTGAAAATTTTTACAAAAATTTATAAGAGTTTGCATTATTTTTTTAAATTTTTCGAGTATGACTTTTTTTAATTTATTAAGTTTTTTTACTTTATTGTTAACTTTAGATTAGTTTAAAAAAAAAATAATTAGTGTTGCTTTGATAAATATGTTTTATGAAAATGATGACATTGAAATAAATAATAGGCTAGATGAAGTTATGCATTTACAAGATAATGTTAGTGCTAAAAGGCGTGTTAAAAATAATCGTAGACGAAATGAAAGAAATAGACTTAGGCGAGATGAAATTAATCTTTACAAAATGAAAGAAATAGGCTAGATCAAGATAATGATAATTGTCGCTAAAATGAAAGAAGAGCTGTTGAACAAGGACGAATGTATTCTATAGCGAGAAGTAATGCTATTCCAGATTATAATTATTTAGGAGAAATGAATCAAATTTGTCATCACTGTGGTGCTAAGAAATTTCCAGATGAAACGCATTTTCTATGTTGCTATAATGGTAAAGTAGCTTTGTCTCCACTTTCACCAATTACACAAGCTTTACAGGATTTGTTTACAGGGAGTTATGTTGATCGTAATGCTAATGCTAATTTTTTAAAACATATTCGAAATTATAATGCCTGCCATTCTTTTGCTTCTTTTACAGCAAATGTAGTTCAACCAATGAATCATGGGCTTCCATGTTTTAAAATATGTGGCCAGATTTTTCATCGTGTAGGTAATCTTAGGCCAGATCAAGATATTCTACCAATATATTGTCAACTATATATTTATGATCCACTTGCTGCACTAAATTTTTGAATGCAACGACGTGGTAATGATCTTTGTTTACGTGATTTAATGTTTCAATTGCAAACTATAATTATGGAACAAAGTCCATTTGCTCTTGCATTTTAAAACATGGCTGAAGTAGTAGATGAAGAAATTCGTAAGGCGGCTATAGAAGGTTTTTCAGCTTCTGTTGTAAAAATGTCTTTACTTGAAGGCAGTGATAGACGTCGTTGTTATCTACCTTCACATGATGAAGTTGCAGTTGTATTTGTTAGCGAAGATGGTGCTCCCCAACTTCCAGGGACGTTGTTATTTACCCAGGATTTGTTTTTCTATTTAGACATTATTAATAATATTAAAACAAGTAAGTTAGAAAGCATTTTTATATTTTTTTAAAGAAATAAAAATACTTTTCAATATATATCTGTTTTCATCGAGGTAGATTTAAAAATTCAGGATTTTAAAATCATATATATTATAATATTGAATTCTTTTTTACTTTAAAAATATATACGTTATAGTTACACTGAGTCGTAAAAAATAATTAAAGTTTATTAGTAATGTAGTAGATTATTAGAGTAGATTAAATTGTTTGATCTATTTAATCAACTTAACGATACAGAAGTGAAGAAGGAAATAAGTCAGTGTTTTTGCTATTAGATATTTGTTAATAGGATTTGTTTATTTGTACTGCCACTGGTATTTAAAAAAATCAAGTTTGTTAGCTTTATTTTACACTTTCTTTTAGGGGAGTTGGAACAAAAACTAAATATAAATTATGATTAGTTTAGGTTAACAAATAAAGCAATAATATTTAGAAGATTTAAAGTTTACTTTAGTTTATAGTTTTGGTTTAGTTTATAGTTTTGTTTTTAGCTTTAGTTATTTTTTTCTTACTTTAGACAACTTTATGGATGAAATGAGAAGGATGGGTAAAACAATTATTTAGATATGTATATATTTATATGTTAACATTATTTTATCGATTATTTATATTTACTTAGGCATATATTTGTCTTTAGCGTCTGGTGAAAGTATAGCTGGTAGGGCAGTGTTTTATATTTTATATATTTTTTATGGAGAAATATGTCCAATAGTTGGAAAAATTAATTAATAAATATGACACTTTTGAACTGGTTGCATTATCGCCCTATATTTTTATTAAAAAACAAAATGTTGCATGTTTAACCCTTTTTAATTTGCTCTCGTTTTTTTTTTTTTTTTTTTTTTAGCATCTTTTGTTTCAAATAGTGGTGAGGTTATGCTAATTTTTTTTTTAATAATTGCAAATGTATAACTTTTATTATATTCTTCTATTTGTAACTTTAGACTCCTTATCATACGATCATAATAAAACTTACCGCTCCCAACACCCTGGACCTCTCTCAGAGAGGTCCTTCAACAAATGGAAAGATAATGGCGGAAAACATGAGCCCTCCTCCAAACGGAGCGCTCATCCATACCGGGGTGTTGGGAGACACTGAAAAAAAAACAGCAACCAAAAGATTGCAAATGTCTTCTAACAGTAGAGATATTTATGACTTTTTGGTTGCTGCTATTTCTTCGGTGTTTTTTTTTTTTAATTTGTAATTTTTTTTAGTTTTAATTTTGGAATTTTTTTTTAATATATATTATGTTGTATATTTGATTTGTTTTGATCTTTTTTAATAAAAATTTTAATTGTTTTCTCACCAATTAAATCTGAACTTTAAAATATAGTTGAATTGATTCATTATCCAATCATCATAATATAATGATGCTGCATTCTTTTGTTAAAAACAGTTATTTGGTAGTTTAATTTATTGAACTCACTGCTTTTAAAATTTATTAAAATCAAAGGCAATATATTTAGTTATATAAATACAATTTATTTATTTCGATTCGATTCTTTATATTTAATGTTTATAGTTTGGCTCCTTGAAGCATTTTATGTTTTGCTTTTTTTATTATGACTATTTTAAATCCGTTGTGATATCTTTTAAATTAAACTAAAGTTTACTAAAAGCCAACATAAAAATTACGTTTTTGAACAACACCAAAAAGAACAGCTGCAACCCTACAGCAACTGCTGCAGTATTACAATAGGTTACCAAAAGCATGTATGCTGTTTTCCAGTTGTTATTTTTTTTTTCATATATATCTATTTATCTATATGATACTGTAGTACGATTGTTAATATCTCATTCATTTTTTTTTTTGAGATTAATTAAACAAGTCGGCTTTCCATTAAAGATATTAGTTTCAAAATTGAACACCATTGGCAAAATGCTTACAAAATTAGGTAGTTTTTAAAAATCTGTTTTCTATTTAATACACTTTTTTTTAAATATACTTTTTAAATATACTTTTTTAATATACTTTTCTATAACAATCCTACTAATATGGAATCACGTAGCTTTTTAAATATGTTTAATTGTCGTCCCTATCGGTAATAAATATTTCAAATTATTTGATATGGTTTTCTTTACAATAGGCTATGCTTGGCTCCTTGGTGCTGCAAATGGTGACTTCAACTTTGTTTTTTTAAGAAAAATGTGTTTTATATATGCTTCTGTTTTAAATATTTTTGTTACATATTTAACTATATATCATGAAAATAAATTTCTTTTAAAGATATGTAAACTTGATACTTGCTTTTTTACGGATTTTCAAAAAGTGAACAAAGTTTTAAATATATTTTTTAACTGTCTTATATGATTTTATCATTTTATTAAAGCTGAATAACTTCTTCTAAAATATTGAGTAAAATCCAATTGCTTTTATTATTAACCTGAACTATACGAAAATTTATGAAATAAAACTAAAAATTTAACGCCAGGTTAAGGCAAAATGTATTCCGGACATTTTATAAAATTAGTATAAATATGGATTGGATGTATGCTGAAATAAATAAGTTAATACACGTTAGCTATTAAAGTAAATCCATATATTCCTTTGTTGTTTTTTTATAAACAAGTTTCTGCTAGATTACTAATTAAAAAAAGGTTGGTTTAATAATAAACTTTATAATATAGGATCCGTATGCAGGGTAAGCTCTTTTCAGAAATGCGATGTATTTTTCTACTTATAGTTTTTCCGGATATCCAACTTCGATGCCTACAAGTTTGGATGTAATGTTTTAGATGTTTTAAAAATATATCAAAAGTATATTAATAACATTGAAAAGTTTAGGTGCGATAGTGACATATTTTTAAGCTCTTCACTCAGTAAAATGAAAAGTTTAAAAAAAAAGAAACGACTCAGCTTAAAGCAAAATTAAGAGTAGAATATATTCCCAATACTTACCTAAACAATTTTACGGAATTTGAAAATTTGACATCGATGTTCTGTGCATATAATTCAAGTCATTTTCAACTACTACATGGTTGTGATTTGCGCATTCAATGTCTGAACATTGCAAAATAAATTGTTTACTTTATCTTTAATGAAGCTAAGAGTTCTCTTAAAACTAAGAAGCCAATAAAAATAAAAGTGGGCTTAACTAAAAAAATGTATAAATAAACTTATATTTCATTAGAGAAAGTAAATAAAGATCAAATTGTTAGTAATGATTTGTTTACCACTCAATTTGATATTTATTTACTTTCTCTAATAAAATATAAATTTATTTATACAGAAAGCAACACGTAATACGGGTTAGTAGAAAATAATTTATTAGTAATTATTTATTTACTATTAACCCGTATTACCGGTTGCTTTCTGTATAAATAAATTTATATTTTATTAGAGAAAGTAAATAAATATCAAATTGTTAGTAATGATATATTTACTAATAACCCGTATTACGGGTTGCTTACTGATAGTATAGATAAATAAAACAACTTCGGGTTATATAATCCATATGTCATTATATAAACATTATGAAAATAACAAAGAGTGTAATTTATGAATTACTCTGCCATCATAAATAATTGTCTAAAATATTTCAATATTGTACTATTTATGACAATTTTCTGCTGAGAAAATTGTTTACACATAATATAACCTAATTTATCAAGATGCAATAAAAAATAAATATCAAGATGCAATAAAAAAAATTACCTTCTGGTTATATAATCCATATGTCATTATAAAAACATTATGAAAATAAGAGAGAGTGTAATTTATGAATTATTTATTTAACTTTTATTACTCTGCCATCATTAATATTGTCTAAAATATTTCACTATTCATGACAATTGTCTTGTTTTCACATACTATAACCTAACTTATCAAGATGCATTGCTGAAAATTTTTAAAAAATATATATAAATATATATATATATATATATATATATATATATATATATATATATATATATATATATATATATATATATATATATATATATATATATATATATATATATATATATATATATATATATATATGTATATATATATATATATACATAGCGTGAAATGTTACAAATTTAATTGTATTTTGTTATTATTTTAATAAAATATATATATATATATATATAGATATATATATATATATATATATATATATATATATATATATATATATATATATATATAAACGAAAATTTTAATAACTAAAAAACAAATCTGATTAGTAAATAAAGTAAAAAATTTTAAAATGAAAAAAATACAAATTATAAAAAAAGAAAAAACAATATTTAAGTGCATATAAATTAAAAAAAAAACGAGTAAAAAAATTCAATTAAAAAGAAAAAGGAGAGAGTTTAAGTCATATAAACTTTAAAAATAATAGACAAAAAAAAAAAATCTAATTTTTAATCACCTAAATTTAACTATAAGAAAAGAAAAAGATAAGAAAAAAAAACATAAGAAACCAAAAAAAATTGGAGGAAAAGAAAGATAAGATCAAGTATTAGAAAATATTTTTGTAGCTAGTCTTTGTTTTAATTACCATTATTTTCTTTGATTTTATTTATTATTTGTGCTAGATACTTATTTTATATTAAATTTTTATTTTTTTATTTTACTATTTAGTAGTATATATTTATATCATTCTTTAACAACTCAGTTATCAGTTTATTTATTTAATTATATTACTTTATATAATATATAGTTAAATTATTGTTTTACATTCTGTTATACTTTATTAAATTAATATTTATTTACATTTCTGTTAAACTTTATTAAATTTTTTATTTATTGAAATCACATAATTTAATTAAATCATACAATTTTAATCAAAACATTGTTTGATCATTGTGTTTTTGTTAACAATATCATTGGTAATATTACCTATTTTAACTGTTTTTGTTTCAAGTTAACTTGCTACTCTTTCTAATAATCATACTTTCTGTTATTGTTTGCCAGATGTATCAAATAACGAACTTAAACTATTTTTTCTTCTAGCAAAACTATTATAACTGACGATTTACCTCTGCAAACCTTTTTCCATCGTCACATTTGAGTAAAATTTCTAACCAAATTAATGACTCATCTCGTGTTTTAGATTCCGATTAAGAAATCTATGCATCCCTAGACATAACTTGCATATATTATGACATAGACAAATTTTGTTCCGTGAAGTTTGACAAAATAAACGCACTTTCTTTTTATCACCTAAACCTTTCATTGCTGGAAAAACACTTTTAGGATTTTAACATATTTTTGTTATTAATGAAATGTTGCTCTTAAACTTAAATCTAATATTCATTCGTCTTACGTCACCTTACAAAAGTATATTAAGTATCCAAACTTACATAGTCTACTCTTATCTCCAACAAACATTCCTGAAATTTCATCTCTTATATCTAAATTGAAGCCGAGAAAATCATTTGGTTCAAAGAATATTCCTTTAAACTTTTCTATTTATTTTAACTAAAAATTTTCAAATATTCTCTCTAAACTATTTAATATCTCATTCGTGAATGGAACTTTTTCTGATATTTTAAAATTATCTTGTATTATTCCAATTTTCAAAAACGGCTCTAAACTTTATGTACTAAATGTAGACCTATTTTTCTTTTATCTAACTTTAGTAAGCTTCTTGAAAAATAAGTTTATTATAGAGTGCACTCTTTTCTAAACTCTTTTAATTGTTTAAATGAGTTTCAATTTTGTTTTCGATCAAACCATTCTACCTGCCACGCACTGATAAGTAAACTGAAAAAATTAGAAAAGCTCTTGATACTGGTCATTTCGCTTGTGGTGTTTTTATTGATTTACAAAATGCTTTCGATAAAATTGATCATAGCATTTTGATTTTTAAGTTATAACATTATGGAATTTGTCGAGTTGTAAGTCATTGGTTTCGATCTTATATTTTGGATTGGAAACAATATGTAAGTACTAATTGTTATACTTCTAGTAACAAATCTGTTACGTGTGGTTTTCCTCAAGATTCCGTTCTTGGTCGTTTTTTGTTTTTAATTTACATTAATAATCTAAACATCTCTTTTAACTTCTCGTCGATTTATCTATTTGCAGATGATACCAATCTCTTGCATGTCAACGAGTCACACTATTTTCTATGTAAACATATAAATTCGGATCTTAAAGGTATAGTTTTTTGGTTAAATGCTAACCTAGAGTATCCTAACACAGAGAAAACTTAACAATTTTTTTTTCATCTCCAAGAAAAAACTGCAACAACAACAGAAAAAACTGTAAAAACGTTGAAGTTTAAATCAAAATAAATAATGAACAACTATATCCCTCGAGATTTATTAAATATCCTGGTGTGTTAACTGATTGCAATCTTTCGTAGAACTTCCATATCGATAAGCTGCACAAGAAACTTAATCATGCTAATGGGATGCTTTCAGTAATTTGACATTATGTCAATAAAGTTACTCTTTTAAATATTTACTATGCATTATTTTCATCTCATCTTAGTTATTGTTGTCAAGTTTAAGGTCAAACTGGCAACTGTCATATTAACAAACTAATGTCATCTCAACCCCAATCCATTAAAATAATAAACCTTCAATCTTTCAAATCTGACACATCAAGTTTTTTTAAATAACCTAATATTCCAACCTTTAATTTGCTAGTTGAGTTTGCTAATCTTCTTTTTGTTTTTAAATCTCTAAACAAAAACTTACTTTCTTCTATAGCAAACTTTTTAATAGAAAGTAGACTAATTCATACAAACTCTACCCGAAATATAAATAATGGAAAACTAATTGTACCATCATACAAAACTCAAAAGTATGGTAGGAATTCTGTTGTGTATTGGTATATCTGTGAATAGAACAAGAACCTTGTGTGCATTGTGAATGAGTCCAAACTTCTTTGTCGTCTTTTCTTAATCTTCATCAAAATAAATTTAAAAAAATTGCGAAAAATATTTTTTTATAATCTTTTTCTACTACTATAAAAATTATCCTTATCTTTTTTTGTTTGCTTTTCTTTTCTTTTTCGTTGTTACTTTATGTGTGTCTATGTTTTATATTTCATGTCTATATGTTTATTATTAGTCATATTATTTTAAAAAAATTGGTGTCACTCCTTTGATCAGACTACTGTAGGAGTGGCAACACCGATACTAATCATTAACTTAATATAATAAGAAATAACATATCTTTTTACTTATTATTATTATAGTAATTATTGCCATTTATGACTTTTTTTTATTATTAATATTATTATTTTAATTGT